GGCATGCTATTAGGCCATTAAAGAATTTAGGGCTCCAGACAGCCATACAAAAAACAGTGCAAGGACAGTTCAAATCTCAGCATGTGGAGCCATCATGGAGGTCAGCACATACAGCTGGCATGGGGAGCGTCTCTCTCCTCCCAAACACACACAAACACACACACACACACACCCCTCTCCTGCTTACATTTTGCAGGTGGGTGCATTAAAGCTGGGAGGTTAAACCTCCCACAGAGAGGGTTTTTTACGGCCATCGTTTCAGACTTTCAACCTTTCAGACCCTACGCACCTCCACCTGGTTTGCTCCCTCCCCTCCCTCCCTTGTGCGCGTGCCTGACATGAAAACCGGAAGATCCTGGGCCGTGTTTGTGAGCAAAAGCACAAAAGGGAGAGAAGGAAAAGGGCTTCTGGACCCCCATCACGTTTCACGGGGATCTAAGATGGCTCGGCCGATATCCAATCCCCTGTCCGTTTCTCTTCCACTCACCCATGAGGTCTGCTCCTTCCCATTTCTGCAACTGATGTGGGTTGTTTTTTTAAAAAAACACCAGAATTAATTAATTAACTAGGTCATTAAAAATAAAAACAATAAAAGGCGCAAAAAGTCACATGACAAGGACCTTCTGCCAGAATCCACGAGCACAGGGGGGCAATTACCCAGGGTTCTCCCCCTTGTACGGCCAGTTGTCTTTTTCACAACTGGTCGCACACACAGTACCGCCACCGGTGTGAGACCTGTCGCAGGAGGAACAGGGGGCTGTGGGGATTACGGAATGGCTGCAGGTCTGTTCCACATTCCCCTGAGAGAAGTCTACCCTTTTTATGGGTATTTTGGAGTTGAAAAACACAGCCTTAACGCCAGCGCTAACCCAACCCGATCCATTTCGTACACTGACCACCTTCTGAGACACACACACACACACACACACACACACACAATCTGCCTCTGAAAAGCCCCCAAGCAAGATCGAAGGGCAATCACTGACTTCCCTTATTGTCGGGTCTTTGCAACCATCGCTCCTCCTGATAGCACAACACGCTCTAGAGCTTTCCTGCCTAGCACCAACTGATATACTTCACCACGGGTTTGTCTAATGCCTTAAAAACAAAAAAACCTAAAACAATTCAATTTGTTGAACGCCACAATCCCCAAAGCTTGGAAGAATAACTTTTTGGACTCCATCTCTCAGGCGGCATGGCCACTGGGAATTGTGGGAGTTGTAGTCCACCTAGTGATTCCAACTAGTCATGAGAAGAGAAGACTCCTTGGAAAAGACCTTGATGTTAGGAAAGTGTGAAGGCAAGAGGAGAAGGGGACGACAGAGGATGAGATGGTTGGACAAGGCCATCGAAGCAACCAACATGAATTTGACCCAACTCCGGGAGGCAGTGGAAGACAGGAGGGCTGGCGTGCTCTGGTCCATGGGGTCACAAAGAGTCGGATACGAATAAACAAGGAGTGATTCCCTCTAGAGATTGAATCATAGTCAATTCCATAAATCAACTGCAGGACTGATTCCCTGCCTCTCCCAGCTCTAGAGATCAAATCATAGTCAATTCCATAAATCAACTGCAGACCACACACCAGTTATGGAGACAAGACTGGAAGCTCAGTAATAGACTAACTTTTTAGCTCAGTAGAAGACCGCTTCTCATCTTCCTAAAGAGCTGGTCAACCTTCTCTCTCTCTCTCTCTCTCTCTCTCTCTCTCTCTCGTTGACCAAGATTGGAGCCCTGCAATCTGATTCAGGCGCATAGTGATGGGGGAAGACCACTTCCCATCTTCCTAAAGAGCTGGTCAACCTCTCTCTCTCTCTCTCTCTCTCGTTGACCAAGATTGGAGCCCTGCAATCTGACTCAGGCGCATAGTGATGGGTCCTGAGTCCCCACGGATCCAAAATCCAGCACTGTCATGTCAAAAAGAGGACAGAGAAGGTAGAGAAGTCCTGGTTCTTAAGGGCCTTCCCCAACCTCTCTGAATAAAATGGGACACTCGTTAAAACCATCCTAGTGGCCCCTAATAGATCGAAACAAAAGGATGCCATAGGGTATCTCCGATAGGCACTGGAGGGAGGGGGGAATGAAGAGAAGACATCAAAGGCACCCAGGATGGTTCAAAGGCCCAACTTTAATTGTTAATTAAGCATGCATAACCGGGAGGGGGGGGCTGCCGAACAATGGCATGACAACCGCAGGACGTCACGCTGGTGTATTATTGTAAAGATAGGCCCGGGGAAAACACAGAAAACAGCTGATTTTGCTGACAAAGTGCTCCCAGCGCATCTTGTAAGCAATCAGCTCCTGTCAAAATGGGGGTGGGGCTCTCCACTCTGTCACCCAGTATTGTATGGGGCATTCCACTCGAAGGGTCACCCTGTGGTCAGCGGGGTAGGGGAATGCCAAGATTTAAAAGCAGTTCTTATATTTTTATTTTTATTTCTCGCAGGCACCAGGATTACAGGATCCACTCTGAGAATTTAATACACACAAAATCCATCTATGGAGTCTGTATGAATAACAGCGGCTCTGGAATGGCGGAGAATGATTGAGCGAAGGGGCCTCTCGCCGTATCATCAAGCTAGGAATTTGCTTTGGTACCAGAACTCCTGCACAAATCCAGTCCTGGTTTTACCCACAAGCTTATTTCAGCAGCCCAATTCAGAAGGGCACCTTTTTGGCCTTACTTAAATTGAAAGTTTTTCTAAGAGCACAAATCACCCAGAGATCTATCAGTGGAGTGAGGTGTTCCCATTTAACAGGGACAATACATTGGGCTGCCAATCTGTTTTTGAAGATGCCTTTTCCAAATTAGCCGGGAGTGCAATCTGCAAAGATAGCATATCTCCTCCTTCCTGGTTCAGTGTCCCATCCCAGAATATTCAGAAGCTGAAGATCTTGAATGAGGGATCAAGGGATGCTGTCTTAAACCAAGTCCTTGTATCTTGATATTTGGGTATGAAAGCCTGCAAACCAGAATTGGATTCTTATGGGAGAGGTGTTCTGTCTGACATCTGATTGTCATTCAGCAGCCATCCACCCAAGTTTTGCAAGACGAACAAAAAGAAAGCAGAACCACCATCATCCTCCCTGAGAACTCAGTTCCAGTGCTCTCTGCCTCTCCCAGGAGCCTCCCACCATAAAGAAACGGTGCTTGGGTTTGCTGTTTTCCTTTGCCCTCCCCATGCCTTTTTCCTTTCATGCGTTATCATTTTACATTTTAAGCTTGAGGCCAGGGAATGTCCTTGTACAGAGATATAGACATTTCAGGCTGCTCTGAGAGCCTTTCCAGATGTTAGGTGGGATACACATGTACAAAAATAAATAAATAACTCAGTTGACCCTCTTAAATATTAAAAATAGGCCCCTGGCCTTCCCGCATAGAAGTGAGTTGACTTGCAAAGGCAGATTTGACAGTCCCGATCTGCACCCAGCAATATTGAAAATCGTTGTTTGGGTGGATTACAAAACAGGAGCTTTCACTGGAAAAACGAGAACTAATTTCCGGGCAGCGGGCTCTTTCCACAACCTTTCCTCCCAAGATGGGGTGGGACTGCATCAGTGGGTCCCTTCCTCCCCTCCTTCTAAAAAAAATAGGGTGGGAAAGAAAGAGGATGGAGCAGGGTTTAAAGAACCAACAGCAAGTCCCCAAAGAAAAGGGCTGGTGACCCCACACTGACCGCAAGGTGACCCCCAGGCCTTGTCAGAGAGCCCCTTTCAGTTGTTTGCCTCTTCAGCTCCCTGACTTTGGTGTGTAGATTGCAGGTAGGAGAACAATGGGGATTGTTTTCTCCAACAATGCTCCTCGCCCCACACCGCCCAGTCCAGATAGTTTCTCCCCACCCCCCAGATTAAGCAGCACTCTCTCCTCGCCTTGTTGCTTTCCAAGGTCTCCTATTCAAATTTCACCAAACCCATCTCCCCCTCAAAAAAGTGGGGGAAGAGGGGACCAGTGGCACCTTCAAGGCTAATTGATTCATTTTTGCAAAAGTGATTCTGGAGAACAACACACTTCTCTCCAGAGGCCCTAAAATGTCACGCTTTTCGCTTATGTTTCGTTCTCCGAATTGTACTGGTGTGCTTTATAGGACAATTCCTGTCCAGAGTGTCATAAGGTGAGGAAAAAAACCCCACAGCATATACGTTTTTCAGCGCATCATAGAAATGAATCATCCTAATGCCAAAAAAAGGTCAGTATTTCATCCTGTCTCCATTGCATTGCATTTTGTAAATACACAATCACAAGAAGCCGGGACTTGCTAGAAAAGACAATAATGGCTAGGAAAGGGCAGCAAGAAAAAAGGGAGACCAAATACAAAGATGAATGTACATTTTGGAGGCTGCTCCGTAAGTCGGAAGCAGCTTCACGGCACACAACGGCAGCAAAAAATACACAATGAATTTTGGTTTGCTTTAGAAATATCGGGAGTATCTGGTTTTCTTACCGATTATCTTCAGTCAGGCTTAGATGATTTCTTTCTTTTTTTAAAAAAAAGTACACATCAGCCAAAGGTTGTTACAGAAAATAACGCTATGCAGCACGAAGAGAAGTGCAGAAACCACTATCAGAACACACTCAGAAGTATTTTCAAAAATAAAGGGCAGTGGGAGGAATGGAGTCAAAGCTGCCTAATGGCACGTGAACATAATTCGTGCATATAGTACACGCACCCCTATGACATAATTAACCTGTTGGAGAACATTGAAACAATACATAAAACGGGGATTCTGATGGGAGCAGCCCTCTTTCCTTGCACACACAGTGATGCCTACGAATGCAGCAATATCGATAGGTATAAATATATACGGAGGCTTGCTCTAATAATTAACTCAGATGCTGAGTGCCAGGAGAATTAAGTCAAAACGGAAACACAGAGAAATAAGATTCCTTGGCAAACTCCTTCAATTTGCGAATGTGCCATTAAAGAGCAGCGCCAATGTTTCATCCAAACCTCGTTCCTTTTCTGTCCTACGTCAGGCCGCAAACTCCCCCTTTGGCTTACCTGCCATTTTGCTTGGCGGGGAGGAGCTGGCCTGCGCGTGGTGAGGCGATCCGTGCGACAGGAGGAGGTTCATGGTGTGAGGCTGGCCCGTACTGTAAGCATCCATGGCCAGCTTTTGGCGAAAAGCCTCCTCTTTCCTCCGGTTCGCAAACCAGTTGTAGACGCGGACCTCGGTGACTAAATTCGAACCCAAGCCGTGCGCTTTGGAAGGCGACACGCCTCGCTGGAGGCATTCAGCCCTAGAGAAATAAAACAAAGGGGACATGTTGGCATTGTTTGCTTGATGGCGGTATCGCTGGCTGATACTTCACTGCTCGATGTCCGTAACGCTTGGGAGCCACCGAGCTTACAAACACAGCCCTACCGAAACGCTCAGAAGTCTTTAATGGCTGGCAGAACTCCACACGGCGCAGGGTTCAAGAGATGGAGCCGGCTCTGCTGTGAGGCAGAGTGAAGCAACCACCTCAGGAAGCAGAGGTCCGGCAACCTTAAAGGACAGCAACTCATTACTTATTTACTTTGCTGCTAGGATGACCATCGGTGACTCCCTCATGAAGAAGATGCTAAAAAACTAGACTGTTTGAAGAAGCCTTTAGGGACATCCTCGGTTAAAGGTTTGTTTAGATTTTTGCCGGACTGCCCTGCCATTGTTTCGGTCTGCTTGGATTTCACATAGCCGTATTGCTACTTCTTGTTTTATTCTTTTGTTTTTTCTTTGATGATTCATTCTATTTCTTACACTACATTTATTCTCAGATCACACAAGCAGATTCAGCACGGGCATCTGCCACGAACGGTTGAGACTCTGACCTGCAATTTTTCGGCACTATCTGCAGAAGGGATGGTGTCCAGCCTGAAGAAGTGAGACTTTACTCACGAAAGCTTGCCATCTGTGCGATTCTTTAAGTGGTTTAATCTCAGCCAACTCCTGCATTTCTACCAACTGTTTTGGACGTAAAACACCCAGAGAAGTGCCCAGCACTAACCGGGCTGTATACAAGTATATGGAAATAAACAAAATAAATAAAAATAAATAATCAGGTTCTTGAGATAGCCCTGGAAAGCGGTGAGCCGCAACTCTGGCTCGGTGGTAGGCAGCCGAGTGGCTTTCCCTTTGTTGTTGACTTATGCAATGTATGGAGAATAGCAGGTTCTTTTCCCTTTGACACAGAACGTGCCAAGCGAGGGTTCACACAACAGAAGTGCAGCTTGCCAACCAGCTTCCAGTTAATTAGAGGTGAGGCCAGAAGACTCCTTGTTCCCTTCCCAAATTTTTAGCATGAATCATCATCATCATCATCATCATCATCATCATCATCATCATCATCATCATCATCATTATTATTATTATTATTATTATTATTATTATTATTATTATTATTATTATT